GACATGCATGTTCTTAAGAAACTTTTCAATGCTTATGAGAGTTTGGTGGAAGACCATAATGCCGCACTTTCATCTCTCCTTTTGTCACTCAATCTCGGGGACGCCCTCTCACTTTTGTGGCGTTACCCGGGATTGGAGGAGAGAATATTCGGCGTAGTTCGCTGTGAAAGGATCCTAATCTCCCACGAATGGTCATCCGAATTAGATATTGTACTCCTAAAGTGTGTTATTGGGTGGCTCCATCGGATTTTCTCACGACAAATTGTGATGCCTCTATGATGAGCCGAGTAATTAGGATTGTTTTTCGAGAATCTCACGGCAGCCCCTAGGTAATTGCCATGAGTAGGGGTGAGCATCGGTTCGGTTCGGCTGGTTTCGGCCCAAAACCGAAATAACCGAAAATTAAAAGCACTCGTAATATCCGACCGAACTGAACCGAATTAAAGCGAGAACCGAACAAACCGAACCGACAAAAAACCGACCGGTTCAGTCGGTTTGAAAAAATCGAATTTTTCATCCTAACCTACTGCCTACTGCCAAATGCAAATATTGAAAAATGAAATTTGAAAAAACTTCAAATTCAATTAGCCATGGCTAATTAGCATCTCAAAGAATTCAATTAGTCGGGGCTAATTAGCACCAATAATTCAATTATTATGATCAATTACTGGTGACTACCTTTTGATGATCGTCGGCCATGGCTAATAATGCATCTCAAAGAATAATAATTAGCAACAAAAAAGAATGAAGAAACCCGATGATTGCCGATTGGTGACGCTGGAACAGAGATGGTGATTTCCGATTAGATCTTGGCGTCGGTTTGAGAACGCCGGAATCGGGAGAATGAGAGATGGTGATTGCCGGTGAGGACCGAGAACGACACTACAGATCTGGGACTTGCTGGCTGCGGCTGACTTGGGAAATTGGGAGATGGATTGGGAATTGGGTTTTTTTAAGTGGGCTATAACTTAATAGATTTGGTCTGGGCTTACATGTATTCAATACACATATTATGGGCTTGGTTATTCGGTCGGTTTCGGTTAACATTGCCCATAACCGAAACCGAAACCGATAAACGAATTAACCGAAAAATTTTAGACATTAAAACCGAAAACTGAAACCGAATTTAAAATTACGGACAGTTCGGTTAAATTGTATCGGTTAATCGGTCGGTTCGGTTAAATTGCTCACCCCTACACATTATGATAAATATATTTTGAGTAATCTTCAATTTTCTGATAAGAACTCTCATGCCTCATATTATTTGAAATATACTATGAGGCTCTTAAAATTTGTGCTAATGTATTTCTTGAGTACATTCTGTCTATTTGACCGTTAGAAAAGTTTTGGTACTTTGAAAAATCCTAAATTTTACATTCATAGTCATTATTTTATTTAATTTAAATAAAACCCTTCAGTTTACCAAAGTAAAAGAACTTTCAATCCCAATGCCTAAATGGACGGAATCTGCTGTTGAAGTATAATATTACAAATTTTAAAGATCGTAGAGTATATTTCGGATAAAATAGAACCCGGGAGTTCTTACCAAAAAATTTAAGGTACTCCGAAGTATATTTTAGATAATGTGGGACATGTGAATCATTATCAAAAAATCAAGGATACTCTGAATTAATTTTCTGAAAATTTTAGTGTCCATCTGACACAATAACTTTTATAACTCTCTAGTCTCTCCCACACAGTGACAAATCCGAAAAGTTATTGATAGTCACATCTGCTAAAATTAAAAATATACCCGTCAATTGAATACATCATGTTATGTATAGTTATGTTATTATTTACTTATTTTATAAAATTTATTAACTTAGAAAATAAAATTATAAACAAATGTTTATAAATTTATCAAAATCATTCCTCATTTATTTCATTTTATTACCCTTCAAACAAATTATATAAATGATTAAACTAGCCCTATTTACGAGGATATAGCTAAGCTTTGGTATAATGATGTTCTTAGAACAACTCCAACGGAGCTGCTAAATGCTTAAAAATAGCAACAATAAAGGTTGCTGTAGCAAATTTAGTCCTCCAACGGAAGCTCTATTTTCTAGAAGGTCATGTACAAATGCTTCTGCGCCTTTTATATATGGAAGATGATGTTCATAAGAGCTAAAACTTTAATCGATAAAATAATGACTTGAGCCCACCAAAAATGATTTGATGTGTGTCCAATAACTAATGAGAGCAGGAGAGAGAAAATTGAATAAATAATAAACAAATGTCCATTTCATGTTTAACAACTCAACTTAAGCATTTGTGATTGGAATGGAGTGAAATAAATGCACCTCTATAACACTGTAGAAATGCTAAATGAGAATATAGAAGCTCAATTTTTTGCTCTCCCGTTGGAGATGCTCTTATAGGCTAGACTAGTCCTGTCAAAGTATGGGGACTAGTTATCCTTTTTAACATTTTTTTATTGAGTAACGGTCCATAAAAAATGGTCACCCGAGGCTCCGACTAGTTATTAAATTTGAAAAATGCTAGAGGTACACCAAGAGGTGTACCCCTTTGTCCCCCAATTCTCCATTACCACAAAAATGGGCAAGAATTTTTAAAAAAATTAAATAAATAAAAAGTAGATAAAAATGGGTGGTGGAGAAGAGGGTGGGGGACACCTTTGGTGTACCCCTAGCATTGCTCATTAAATTTTCATTCCGTATCAATTTGTATGGTCTATTTTACAACAACAACAACAACCCAGTTAAATCCCACAAGAGTAGGGTCTGGGGAGGGTGTGTGTACGCAGACCTTGCCCCTACTCGAAAGTAGAGAGGCTGTTTCCAAAGAGACCCCCGGCTCAACGTCGAAAGTTGCATTGCTTGACTAACTGCTACTTCATTAATTAAATAAGCGCAAATAGTTTAGATATCCATTTTGATTTATTCCATCACACCCCAAAGCCAAAAACAGGTGAAATTTTGGCTCCATCGGAGATGATGGAAAAATATGGTCTATTTTAATTTATGATATTTATTAAAGTCATTTAATGTAATTTATTATAGAATTCCTCCATAATTTAAAATAAATTTTGCATATTAAAAAATTATATCAAAAATTTTATGAAAATAAGAAGTTTAACTCTATTATTTTATCAAATGAAGAACGAAAATAATAAAAAAAAATGTCAATAAATTTTGATCATGTGAATAGTGAATATACAACTTAATTGAAACTTAGAGGGTACCGGTAATACTATTTTGGGAAAACTAAGTTGAGAAAATACACATTTATTAAAGTCCACCGAGATAGAATAATCAGAACTACTCCGTAACATTAATTTACTTCGTGCTTAAATGAATTAATTTCATTTGAATTACAATTTATTTTGATATAAATTTTCATTTACACATTCTAAATGAATAAACTTTCAAAATAGTACTTAATAACTACTTATTTTCTCAATTTTGTTTCTAAAATTACTAATAACGACCGATATGTTATTTGATAATTGAGAATAATTCTTACTTATTCCATCGACTGTGAGTCATGAAAACGAAGCCAAGTGTTAAAACAAGTACTAATTTTTTCTAAAATGGTTCTTTCTAATTGGATGCTTTTGTAAATAGATTTGTTCATCTTTAGAATAAAAACTCATTAAATATTGAAAATTAATTTTGAATTTTAATTTATAAAATGGGAATACAATAAATAAAAGTACAAACATACTTTAATAAATTTTAAAGTAAAGGCTTTATATTGTTTAAAATTCTATAGAAGAATGTCATACAAATAAACCATTTAATTAACGGTTCCATCCTTTATAGAATAAGACTTCTATTTTAATTTACGATGTTTAACCAAAATTATTTTCTAATAAATCTAACTTAGTTTTTTAGTTAACATGTTTTTTTATTTTGGGATAGGATGAGTGTTTTCGGAAGTAATATTTTTCACAAAAACAAAATACACATTTGATGAGTCAAAGTGCTTAGATGAACAATTCCAAAAGTCAAATGTGGACAAATACAGGGGGACGGAGGGAGTAGATTATTAATATATAATTTTTATAATTTTTTAATATACAAATTACAAGATAAAATAGATTAAAGAAGTGCATTGGATGGTGTGTAAAAATGAAAGTGGACAAAAACTGGGGGACGAAGGGAGTATATTTTTTTAATTCTACACAAATTTTTATCTAAAATAATTTGAAAATAACTTCGATCAAACATCTAAACTGAAATAAGCCATTCAAATTAGGACGAAAGGGGTGAAATTTTTTAAATTATGAGACATCGTAAACCAAATTAAAACAAGAACCTTATTTCAAAAAAGAGGAGCAAATAAATAATGTTCATTGTATAATATATTTACATGATATTCTTCTAAATAATTGTAAATTATCTGAAATGTTTATTTTCAAATTTATAATAATACATTTATAGTTTTACTTTTAATTTTATTTATCCTCATTTAACATAATAAAGAGCATCAAATTACCATTATTTAATTGTCATTCAATGTACATTTTTTTGTAAAGGACTATTTAAGAAACACATCTCATTTATAAGTTGACTTGGTCACTCTAACTTGACTACAACCACAATTTCTTCTTCTAAAAGGCTTGGCAATGCATCTCGATAGGAGTGCGGTTCTGGTTCGATTTCAGTTCAAGAATTTCCTCTTCCAAAACCGCCGATGGGAGGTATAACTACCAATATTGGTGCCCGACAGTTCCAGTTTCGGAACCTTTTTTTGTAAAAATTCAATTTTTTATACTCCGTCCGTCCTTATTTAATCACAACAGTTTGACTTGCACACATTTTTAGAAAGTAAGTAAAAAGTATTTTTTTTCAAGAATACCCCCACCCACCCGTACAAAAGAAAAAAGCAAAGGCAAAAAATAAGGGAGAAAGGGGGAGTATTTAATTAAAGTTAACATCACATCATTCTCAAAAAGCAGGGGTATAATAGTCTTAACACACCAATTTACTTTCCATTATTAGAAGTGTGGTGAATTTTTTGGAACGGATAAAAAAGGAAAGTGTGACAAATATTTAGGGACGGAGGGAGTACAAAATTGACACTATATGGCTAAAATACTTATATTTTAATAAAGCTTTTTCTTATAAAATAGTCAATCGAAATGTAGCAATGCCTAGAAAACTAAAGACAATAAAATCGGATTAAGTACCCAAAATCCAGAACGAGAACCGATGCCGCCTAGAAAGGTATGAGTACCGGTTCCATCTGCCCGCCCCCAAAATTCTGATTCGGGTACTTGTTTGGAACGGCAAGCATGTCCAAGTCCCATAATTTTTACATGGAATATCTTAAGAGATGAATTGATCTTGACACTTTAGGCCTAACTACAATTAATAATAGGGTGTTTAAGATTGTTCAATTTTTAGAAAAAAAATGAGTATTTTAACTACATAATCTAAAAGCATCTCTGAGCAACTTTTAAGGTTCTGCTTTTTCATTTCTTAAAAAGTTGAGAATCATAATGTCCTAAAAGTTCAAACTAAATCTAATCAAAATAGAACTTGAAAATCATTTTAAAAGCATTGTCAAACCTTCTTAATGAATGAGTGGGGTACATTAAGCTAACTCTTAGTAACTAGAAAATTCATACAAGGAAACGTATGATTACATAAAGGATTATGCTATGTGTACCCCAAGATTTGTACCCCAATTTGTACCCCGCAGTTTTGCACCAACATTTTGTGTTGGTGTAAAACTAATTTTTGTTAAACGCACCAACATTTGTGTCCGTGTGAATTTTTATTAACGTACCAACACTTGTGTCGGTGTAAACCATCAAAATGTTTATGCAAACCTGTGGTGTACAAATGAGGT